AGTCAAAGTTGAAATCTACTGGACGGATTGGCGTAACATTTCTATGGTTTTCTAGATAGTATAAAAAACTTTGGCTTTTCATCTAGTGCAATCATCAGGGCACATTTTCTATTAGTTGAGGACATTTCCATTAGCCTCATCTGTACTTTGTTAGGTGCAAATTAGCAAATGTTAGCATGCTAACATGCTAAACTAAGATGGGTAACAGGGTAACTATTATGCCTGTTAGCATTGTTGTTATGAGCATGTTAGCATTGTAATTGTGAGTATGTTAGCATGCTAATGTTAACATTTAGCCTACAGCGTCGTTAAGCTGTTAGCTTGGCTGTAGACTTTTAAACATGGCTTGGAGCTAAAATAGTTCACTCCATATAAAACTGCCCTTCCTTTATTTCTGCCCGCATGTCATGGATATCTCTAGTGTGAAAAGTTCATTAATGCTCTTACTGAAAAGTCATCTTGAGGTCTGCTCTCATGCTATAATTGACACGAGTGTGGATTATAGTGACAGCTAGGCCTCAGCTGAGGGGCCAGGAGGGGCTATTATTACATCCTGACATGTGGCGCTATCACATCCCCCCTCGACTTCCACCAGGCTGGACTTCAAAGCTGATGAGTCAGCTGGCAAAGAGGGGAACCACTGATATGTTACAAGCAGAGATCACTGCGATCAATTTGATATTCTCACCTATTTAGTTTCCTCTACAATAAATGAATGTGCTGGGGGATATCATTGCACCAGAAGCTTTGAGAGAATATCGAAGGATTCAAAACTCAAGGCGACTTTCGATGTTCAGGATTGTTTGTAATTACACCTAAGGTTATCTATGATTGGATGTTATCTAGTCTGCCTATTAAAAACAGTTAATTCAGTGTTTGAAATCGAAGAAATACATTTACTCAAGTACAATTTTTAAGGTACTTTACAGCGCTGAAGGACTGCAGAGCCCTGTCCCTGCAGATAGAAATCTAAAAATATTGTACTCCAGAGGATAAGCAGTATATAAGAGTTATGGGCCGTTGCACCAGCTACAGTACTTCCCTATATTTTAGAGTTAATTGTTGTATGTTTAAATTCACTACATTCATCTCATTGTATAGTTAAAAGTCATTTTCCAGATTCTGGTATAATATGCACAACAAGAACTGATTAGAGCGTAAAATATTATATTATTTTTATGGACTTGACTATGCAACACATACCTACTGTACGTAGTCAATAGTATCTTAAGCAACATGACAGTTCTGCTAATCAGTTGCCTAATTGTTAGTTATATATATATTATACTATAATAAGATGCAAATAACTCAAAAAAGGTGCCTTGTTTCTGCATAATCAGTACTTCCACGTCATTAAGAGAAAGATAGTTCAAGTAGAGTTTTGAACATAGAGCCTCTTCTAGTGACAGATTGTTTCTACATGTCAGGATTCCTTACTTCAGTAAATGTTTTCCACCACTGTTGTTGACGGTGTAGTTTAACAAAATGGAAAGAATCCTGCAGCGTTTGATTTCCTGCGAGCTTTGAGCTCTTCTTGACTGACAGCAGCAGGGAGATATTTTCTTCTGGTTACGCACAGACATCACAAACGAACATGAGGATCACAGACTGTTCTGTTTGTAATATGTCTGCACATCGCCTGCAATGAACTTGGTGCATTCGACCATTTGGCCGCTTGAGGGGTCTTAATGTTGCATGACTTAGTTATCAGGATTTAGTTACAGTACTTTTACATTAACCACACTGTAGTGTAACTCAGTAGGGGAACATATATTTTTACATGAGCACTGTACAGTACTTACACAAACACTGTTGATTCCTTTTTTACTTTATTCATTTGACTTCACTACATTTATCGGACAGGTGTTCTTTGCAGGTTTGACACAACTTCTGATCAACAAGGACATATATTGCTATATTGGTTTAGGTGTAGTAATTGGGAGTATTTAGGAGTCAGTTATACTAATGTAAATTATCTCAATGCTTCCTACCATTGCACAGGTCTGCAGCTGCAAATGTATGCAACGTCTATGTAAGTAGTGGAGAGTAACTAAATACAATTACTTTAGTATTAAGTACTCATAAATGTTATTTGTTATTATTATTTCAGAATTTATATTTGCTACTACTACTTCATTCTTCTACAACACTTCAGAGGCAGACATTGTATTCTGTATTCCCCTAAATGTATTTGATATCTCGTACTTTTTACATTGAGAATGTAAAGATATTGCCATAAAATAAAAGCCCATGTTTAACTAGCTACCAATCAGTATGGTATATAAAGTACTAATTTCATTGATTCAATAAAAAGATAATGTAATTCATTTCATTGTAACAGTTTGTAAAAATGTGTTCCACTCCACCTTAATTAAATGCAAATAATTCCTTAGTTGGTTAATTTACATTTTGCATGCAGAACTTTCACTTGTCACTAAGTATTTTTACATTTTAGAAGCCCTGTCATCACTTTTAAGTATGTTCTTCACTGGTGTAATCCACTCGTCTACATTTCAGAGGGAGTAACGACTTTAACTTTTATGTTTGCCAGTAAAACATGTTCTTTCAGCACAGTTTTCTGTCGCACTATAACAAAAAGTTTTGAATCTGGATCTCACCCCCGTCAGCATATGTCTCTGTTCCATATCCATCCTGTAGCCCATTATTCCAAGTCCCTTCATACTTTGCTCCACTGCCCACACTGATCCGGATGCCATATCTCCCTTTGAAGCCATGAGTCCATTCCCCTTTGTAAATCCAGTGTCCTTTGGTTTCTACTCCCAGGCCGTGACGCTTGCCCTGCGACCAGTACCCCTCATAGGTGTTTCCACTGGGCCAGGTGTAGACCCCCACCACCTCGAAACCGTAGTTCCAGGATCCGGAGAACTCGCCCTGGCCTTTGGGTCCGGTGCAGATGCCATGGCCGTGGGCTTTCCCCCCCTCCCAGCCTCCACAATAAGCCCCACCGTCGTCAAACTCAAAGCGACCTCCACTCATGCCTCACCCGAAGTGCGCAGCGATCAGAAAGTAAAGTTTGTAGTCTGTTTCGTGGCTAAAGATACCGTCAGTCTGACTTCACCTTCACCTGACATCAAAACCGTCTGCAGATATCCTTGGTGCTGAACTTAAGGGGGTTTCTTCTCTTGGAGTTGGGTTGGGTAGTTTTACGTGTCCATAAAGCTTCGGGACGCACTTCTTCATACAAACTTCAATGTGTCCTCTTTTACTCCAGTGTCTTCTTGGGTCAATCTTCTGTGTTGCAAATTTGGATGATAAATCGAATTCTTTTCTTCTGTCTTGACAAGCCACTGATCTTACATGGCTTTTTCCAGGGGGCCACAGAGAAAAGCCCCTTTCCCCTGTCCCTGCCACCCAGCTATCTCCTGACAGTCGCTGCTGTTGGGAAATATTTCAGCAGACCTAACAAGGCGACCAATCCACACACACACACCCTTCCAAAAATACAACCCAATCCTTACTCTGCTGCCTGCAAGGAGCCATGCCAGAGTCTTGCCACCTCGGGGCTGAAGTATACATGCCATTCAGGACTCAGCTCTCTTTACATTTTCCCTACAGTTAATGCAGTAATTATTCTCTAATAGGCTATTAAGCTTGACGAAAGGGCTCAGTGAAAGTATAGATCTCTGTAATTTCACATTGATTTCCCTGCCTGGTCTCATAGATCTTATAATAATACTTCTACATTAGGAAATTACAGCCTGTGCGTCTGTTATTAAAACATTATTTTAACCCTGTATTCCTATATATATATATCTGTATATATATGATTATGAAAATATATTGATTTACTCATGGTTCAGTCCTATGTCATTATTGACCTATAGTGTGATTTATATATTGTTTAATTATAGAATCTGAATAAATCAATATATTTTCATAATCAGTCAGATTTATTATTATTATTTTTGCTGGGTAATTGCATGAGTCTAATAGCAAAATATACAATTTACTGCCAATATGTCAATTAATAATGGTTTATTTCCATTTTCCATTGCAACCGTAACAGTAGGCTATGAGTTAATGTTTGCATTATGGATGTATCAGACATTTCAATCTTTTTACTCCCCCTGCTGGGGAATACATGTAACTGCATCATATCTTTTAATTTAATTAGGAATACATAAATAGGAAGAAATTACAACTTGTTTTTACATTTATTGCTATTTTTTTGTATAGTCAGTCAAACTTGCACACGTAAAAAACGTTACTTAAAAAAAAAATATAAATATTAAAACATTGTATTGGTTCTTCTAAGAATCCCTTATAAATAGCCTAAATGTGCTTTTAGCAGGTATTAATATGCTTACATTGTCAAAATGTTTTACGTTACTATTATTGATAAAGAAAACTTTATTGCATTTCTCTGAATGGTGGAGGTGGAGCTCTTTTTCCTGCTTTATAAGAATGAAGCAGGTAAGGTTATGATTAAAAGTAGGCTACTTCCCATCACAGACCTTTATGTTCCAAATTGGCAATCTGTTGGCATTTTCGTTTGCTTTTTTGTTATTTTTCTCCTGCTATCGTGTTACTTGTTAAACAATGTGACCCTGTAGTCTTCTGCTAGCCTGCATGTCCTTTCAGAGAGCAGCTTGACCTTCCACCGAAACCTCGGTGAGATGCACCGCGCATGCTTGTGCATCATGTGATGTCACACGGTTACACATTGATTTAACGCAGGTGCAGCAGCATGCTCGAGTAAGAAGCTATTTGCATATGGATTTTTTTAATGATTTGGGTCTGTATTCATTTCGAAGTGCAGGCGGTTTCAGCACCGGAGCTGTCCGAACCTGACGGTGCTGCTGTTGCGTGAACAGACGATGCTGAGCGGCTGAAATCCTCCCTCTCTTTCTATCTCTGTTTCTCTCTGTTTCTCTCTCTCTCTCTCTCTCTCTCTCTCTCTCTCTCTCTCTCTCTCTCTCTCTCTCTCTCTCTCTCTCTCTCTCTCTCTCTCTCTCTCTCTCTCCTCTCCTCTCCCTCCTCCTCCTCGCTCCTCTCCTCTCTCCACACGCACAAAACGCTCTGTCATGGCGTCTTCCAACCATGTTACCCCCACCAACTGTAGCTGGTGGCCCATTTCAGCCATGGACGAAGACGACAAAATCACAGACGGGGAGGAGAGCGAGGAACCGACGGCAGAGCCCAAACCCTTCAACAAAGACAAGCTCGTTTTGTACCACTGGACGCAGTCTTTCACCTCCCAAAAGGTAAGGGGAAAAGAGGGAGAGCTGTGCATGAAAATGGAGGTGGATCCACGTCCCTTTGCATGATGCTCCAGCTTGCAGCTCACTATGTGTGTGTTTGTTATGATCCAAACATGTTTTCCTGTGCATGTGTATTCCTGCACACCCCTCCGGAATATGAACGTGACCATGCAGCTGGGCAGATCTCCCGTTTGGGAAAAGCGCTGCAGCATGGGGGCTCCTCTCCTCGACATATAGCAGAATAAGTGATCGATATTATGTTTATTTACCCCTGCATGAACCACCCCTCGTATATCTCATCAGCTCCAAAGACACGTTGAAGATGTGTCTCCTCAGAGCTGGTGAATGTGGCTACTACCCATAGGTGCTCTGACACATGACATCCTAAATAATTGATTCAAATGATGTGCAAAAACAAACTAAAGGCCATCTCCCCCCTTCTGCATCCAAACCATAGTATGTGTTGTTATTTAAGGGCTTAGTTAGGTCTACCTTTGGTTAGTGTAGCAGACTTTCATATTACAGTGTGTGGTCTATTCAAAACAACCAAAGCATTATTATCCACAGGGCTTTAATTCACAAGCAGCATAGGATATATATAGAGGCTTTCCACCTATTTTACATATACAATTCAGTAACGTAAAGTACCACTACTATCATGGATAGTAGTACACAAAGCATCTACTGTTGCATGCATTCGTCCAAACATGGCGTATTGAACTTTTACCTATTGCTCATATCTGATGCGCAAAGAATCGTGGGTTCAGAAAAGCATGCACGCAAATACTGCAAAATGTGACCGGGTGCACAAGGATATCCTGGTATTTCTGTCATACTGCAGGTGACATACCAAATATTTTTCATGGAATACAATGCATGTTTCTGATTGGATGTGGAGTTTGAGAGACATGATATTAACCAGAGAGAAAGGGTCTAATAGAGAGCCAAAGTACTGATGGTGAGCCCAAAGTATTCTTATATAACTCATACTAAAATATATTCCTATTTCTGGTGGGTTCTCCTACAAATGTCTAGCCACACCTGTCAAATTACGCGAGTTACGAGTTTTCAAAATAATCTTCCGTCTCTACGGGAAACAACTTGTCATTTCGGCTTGGTTTAGGCAGCGAAATAAATTGGTGAGGTTTAGGAATTTTAAATAACTACGGAAGTGACGTCACTCGGTCATGTGAGATATAACCAAGTTCTGGTTTCACACGTGACACAAATAGTGGTGTTTTTGGACCCGTGCATCAACCCAATCATCCACCATGATCTCCTCCAATTGCAGACTGTGTTGCTCTTTACACTTCCTGGTACAGTCACGAGAATACATATGTATTGATTTTGTTGGATATACACAAATTACATTTCAGTGGTATAGCTTCAAACAGTATATGAGACCAGCCTGAAAAGAGAACAGACTTCGAAACAGTAAGCTCAAACTGGGGTTGTAGGATTTAAAGATATCATACCTGACATTTGAGGGTTTAGTGCCGAAGACCCGACATCAGGTCCCGTGTAATGTCTCCAGCTTCAAAAAGCCAATGTTTTTTCTCATTCAGCATTTTTATTTCATTATCATGTTCATTGCTAATACAAGCTGGCACTACTCCACTACAGCAGTTGCTAATAGAAACTAAAAATCTTTGTAATTTCACTTTGAGACTGTAGAAAAAATACAGCAACAACAAGCACAGGTATACGTCACCATAGTTTTGTAAACCAGTATCCATAAAATTAATTATCGCAATAGTTACATTTTTAATGCAGAAAGACAGAGTATATGCAGGTTCCGTCTCTTGCAAATGAGGATTTCTTGCTTGTCTTTTCTTGTACAAACTAATATAAATAGGCTATGTTCCTATTTTGGACTGTGGAGTTTGTCAAATAAAACAAGCAGTTTAAAAAGGTCACTTTGGGCTCTGGGAAGTTGTAATTTCTCACACACTACATAGACTAAACTATTAATAGAGAAAATAATGAGCAGACTAATCAATAATGAAAATAACAAACTAGTTGTAGCCCTGGTGATCAGACACATGTCAGCTGGCCTCCCTTATTGGATCATGTTTGATAAAGGTTCCTTAAATTCATGTGCTGCTTCGATCTAGAGACCATTCTATAAAATCTGTGTTTGGTAAGTACCACACATTTATGGTAGCGCTGTACTAAATATCTGCAGTACCCCTTTAAAAGAAAGTGCACATTCACCGTTATGAAATGACAGTTGGTGCTGCATCTCTTGTTCATTGACCTCCATCTGTGCCTTATGTTTACACATAAATCACTCTCTTATGATTTATTTATGAGTGTTAGAGCTGAAAAGATTAGTGGGTAATGGCTTAGTTTGTTAATTTGCTTTTGGTAAATGATAACTTGTTGTTTAGCAAAAACAACAAACCTTTTCTGCTTACAGCTTTTCAAGTTGCTTGTTTGAATTGTGTCCAACATGTCTTCTGGATTTGGACTTACCGGCCAAACGAGCACTTTCATGACCCGCCCTTGGCTTCAAGGAAAACATTAAATAGCAACCACTTTCTACATTGTATTGACCAAACTATGCATTAATTCGATTCAGATCATTACAACTATCAGTAGCACTTGAATTGGTTAAATAATCTTGTCATGATAAAGGGCTGAATTCACGCACCATCACTACACATTGCTCCAAAAACAGCTTTAGCTCAGACTCTATGAACTCAAGGACCGCATTTCCCTCTTCACAACCTTGAGTTTATGTTCAGTCTCGTGTTAGTACGTCACTTAAAGTCTCCATTGTTGGCTTACAGCCACTGAAGTCTGGGTTGCTGTTTGTGAAGGTTGCCACGCAGCAGAGGGAAACACCAGGCTCAATGTCCTGATTATCTGTTTTTTTTAGAACTAAACGCATAGACTTCAGCAAAGTTGTGGCATTAAATGTCTGATTCTCTGTATTAAAACAATGGTGTGTGACATTTGTTGTTATGCAAGCTGATGCGTGCTTTAAATGGCTTTTTCTGGATTGCTTTTATGAGATTAAGAGGCCAAGGTTGTCCACTCAACCAGAGTAAAACTGAATATGTTGGGCCTTAAAGTAACACTAATGCTTGCAACGCTATTGGTCTAAGTAACTTTGCAGCACCTTGAACGATTTAAAAAACATTATATTAAGTCAATCTTGTGCGACTTTTCCTTTCTCTAAAAATACAGTTTCAAGAGAATAATTATATGATGCTGATTTTCAGGTTCATATTTGTATTTTATGCTCACGCTTTAATGTTCAAAAAGCTCTTTATTGTTCTCATACTGCCTGTGCTGCAGCACCTCTTTTCACCCTCTGTCTGAAACCAGAACCCAGTCTGCTCTGATTGGTTAGCTGGCCGGCTCTGTAGTGATTGGTCAACCGCTTAGAGATGTCCCGCCCCTTGGCCTATTGTGTACAATGGGTTGGAGCGCTAGCCAATACATGTGGGAGTGTTACATAGTGAACTTGGAGATTTTAGCCTTTGCAGACCCTAACATGCAGAAAACCCCAAAGAAGGGCCCCTTTAAAGTAAAGACAATGAGACTGACTGAATGTTATTGACTTCTAACAGATAAACAACCCTGTAAAGACAATATCATCACCAGACTTACAGAGGGATTACTTACACATCTGTGTTTGCCTCAGCAAGTCGCAGAGAGAAACTGAGCCGTTGAATTTCTCCTGCACGACACTTTCTTCATCCTCCTCTGTGTCTCTAATGCTTCACAACAAACTGCCACTGTCACTGTGCTCCTGTGGTCTGAAGTGCGCCATGCAGTATTTGAATCCACCTCACATGAGTGATGTATTGTGATCACACCAGATAAAGATAGAGACAGCTTTGTACCGTGGAGAGACATCACATTCAGAGGCGAGCTTCACAGATCAATAGAGGAATAGAAACCCTGAAAGCCTGCAGGTTAGACACCTTTAACACACCTTCTGTGAGACTGAACACACTTTAACACACCTTCTGTGAGACTCACACACACTTTAACACACCTTCTGTGAGACTGACACACACTTTAACACACCTTCTGTGAGACTGAAACACACTTTAACACACCTTCTGTGAGACTGAAACACACTTTAACACACCTTCTGTGAGACTGAAACACACTTTAACACACCTTCTGTGAGACTGAAACACACTTTAACACACCTTCTGTGAGACTGAAACACACTTTAACACACCTTCTGTGAGACTGAAACACTGTTAGACCCCAAGCCTGTTTTTCAGGTTTCAGGCTCGAAAATGACATGCCCAGAACAAATGACAATAACTTCACTTCTAAAAGGGTTAAATTAATAATCTTTTTCTCAAAGCAAGGTTACATCTGTGAGTTGGATGTAGAAGTGTCAGAATCAATATAGATGTTTCTGTGTCAGAGTAAATTCAGATGGAACATAGTAAAAAAGTGTAAATTCTTACCTCCGCCTAAGAAAACCCCATTACTTATAGTGAAAACCACCCTTGAATGATGGGTTAGTAGCCTAAAAGCTTTAATAATCCAAAGTATAACATATAATAAGTACCCTGTATCAAGATCACTATAGTTATTCATTCCATCAAAAAAAAAGAGAAATTATTGTCATTATTGTATATTTAACCTGCTAATTATTGTCATGGATTTGAAAACTGATGTTGTTTATTTGCTATGTTCTGGCTGCTAGCTCAGTGAATTCTTGCCTGCAGTGATGAGGTGTATACCCATGGAATCTGTGGAATCTCAGCTTTCAGATGATGTGTTGTTTGTGCAGAAAGTATGAATTATAAATGATCATTTTTGTGAGTTATGAGCAGAAATAGCATTAGTCCGTATTTGCTAAGGGCTCATTGAAAGGCTTCTTGTGGGAATTATTATTATTATTATTATTTTTTTCCGTATCGTCAGTTAGCTGAGTTTCTTCCCGTCAGCTGGGTGTGGAACATTAATAGTTTCATAAATGACACTTCAGAGATCACACTGGTGCTAGCAGATGTAGCATTTTCGGACCCTTCGGCGGGTCCGTGGGGTTTAACAGGTTTTAACACACCTTCTGTGAGACTGAAACACACTTTAACACACCTTCTGTGAGACTGACACACACTTTAACACAGCTTTGTGTCCGTGTAAAGGGCAGTTTGTCATGACGCTAGCAATTATCTGGTCAGCCATTTAAAAAAGACTTTAACCAGTGATGGACTGTAGGAAAAGTAGCAACACTACAGTGCAAAAATACTTTGTTGCATGTATAAGTTCTGCATTCAAATGCAACTTAAGCAAAGTAAAAATGTATCAGGAACAACATAAAGTTAAAGTACAAAAAGTAAAAGTAGTCATTATGGAAAACAATAATATTATTAAAGAACAATTATTAATGCATTCATTAATTTCATATTACTGCTTGAAAAGGTGGAGATATGTGATTTTTAAAATGAATATGCTGATTTTAAATCAAATCAACATTTAGCACAAGGACACAACATTAATCACGCATTAAAAGCCAGTAAAAAAAAAGTAAAAATTAGCTTTTACTACAAAAAATGTAGTAGAAGCATTAAGTGGAGAGAAATGAAAATACTCAAGTGAAGTACAAGTATCTTACAAACTGCATTTCAGGAGAGTACTGCTACTTTCCACCACTCTGAGATGTAGTATTACCATGCAGAGCTTGAGTTTCTGTATACTGTGTTCAGTAAGAGGAGTTTCTTTTCGCCTCGGGGCGGCTGAACTACTTGGCATCATTACTAAGGCGTGACTAATAATAATCTATTATATAACAAATCAACAGTGTGGGAAACCTCAGCAGTGTTAGTCTGGGACCTTAAACAGCGTGTTTTTAATGGAAATCCTTGATAAAGTGTCACGCTGCTGGAAGTTGTTTCCTTGTGTGACTTTGCTCCTGTATTGTGTTCCTGCTGTAATTACTGTGCTTGTGTCAATCATTCAGTATTATTTCATTACACCGTGTGTGGTCATGTTCTGCAAAACTCCCATTTGGTTTTCTTCCTAAATGGCCGAACGTATCACTTTACAGCTCGAGTGTCATCTCCTTTCATTAATCTTATTCCCACTAATAGCTCTCCGTAGACCTTGATTTACCCTTCATCCCACCAGGGAACCTATCCTGGATGTTTCTGCTCAAAATGTTTCCACTCTATAATGTTTCTCATTATTTTCCCAGACCACACTCTGATAAGCCTAACATTTATTCTGTACAACACAAACATGACAACTTCTTTATGTTGTGAGCAGTGGCGGCGCCAGAGTATTTTTGTTGGGTAATCTATGGTACTGTAGGGCTAACCCATACAGTGGTGGTGCTCAAGTCAGTATTTGCAATGTAATTACATACACGCTATATCGCCCCCCTTGACAGTGAAACGCCACGCGTGAGGTTTAGATTATTCTCAATCAAAATGGAACTGTATGAAATAAAACGGCACATTTGTCTTGTAGTAAATAAAAAGGGATCACTGTGAACGTGACGTATGATAGTACACGTGGAAGATCCAATGGGGATACTGAATGGCGGTTCCGATTGATCTCAATCAATAAGGCATGATGCAGATCCAACGTTGCGTTGCTCTGATTGGCTGTAGGTCTATTCAAATTGCATTCGGAGGCATTTTGATCTGACCGCGGCCGCGCTGATATTATAACGCCAGAGAATTTCCACACCTTTAGTGTATAAAACTCCCCCACTACTTAGACTATTCCTTGCACCCCTCTTCTAGCATAACCCCGAATGGTCTCAACCATTTTGCATCAGTAACGTGCACTTGTTGTTACAGCAGGATCAGTTTGTGTGTTGTGGACACGACCCGTATATTTTCGCAATCTGTGTTCTCAACATTTAGCATTTTGCTTATTATTTAATTTAATTTGCTTACTTTAACATCATTTTTCATGGTTGGGCTAAGGTGTGGGCTAAGCCATTTCTTGGTATGGTTGTAGCCTACCCCAGCCATACCCTGGCGCCGCCACTGGTTGTGCAGTCTCACGGCATTTCGTGCTATAGTCACGAAATTAATTTAATCTATTGATTCGTGTTCACCAACACGATTTTCGCATTTTTTTCGTGTCACACAGAACGATTTTAAATGCAATGTATTTCTATTGGTATGTTTCGTGCCTGCACCACGTATTTTTGTCCGGTCGGGTCTTGGAAGACCGGAAGCTGTGTGGTTCATAAAAACATTTTCTTACTCAATATCTTACCCTAAGCCTAACCCTATCCCTTTTATTTTAAATTGTATAATGTCGGAGTTTTTTTGCCGTCCGCGAGGAAAATAAATGGCTCAGAGCCTCAGAATACTGAAATCTGTAATTTTTGTCATATCTTTTTCCTTCTAATTTGTTATTATTTGGTGCAGGCACGAAACATACTACCAATAGAAATACATTGCTTCTAAAATCGTTCTGTGTCAGAATACTGAAATCTGTATTTTTTAAAATCTGTTTTTCCTTCTAATTTGTTATTATTTACATTGCTTTTAAAATCGTTCTGTGTGACACGAAACAAATGGCGAAATCGTGTTGGTGAACACGAATCAATAGATTAATTTCGTGACTATAACACGAAATGCCGTGAGACTGTGTTGGGTTGTGAGCTAACAGCTGAGTCGCCCTGCTTTCTTATTGTTGCAATAACTCTTCTCAAACAACAGAAAATATATATTAGTTGTGCAATGTTTTTGATTTACCTCAGATGAAATGGATCATCAGGCTTTTTTGTTTTTGTGTTTCACCATCTCTCTGGATTATGTTTTCAAAGTGTCAAAATGTCAGCCGCTAGATGTCTGTAAAAAGATGTGGTGTGTTTAGAGCGCAAACAAACTTTCTTTACACCGGTTTTTCAGTTTGACATCCTGAAAAAACACACACACTACAAATAGCTTTGAAAGAGGCCCTATTTTACTTTTTGGGGTTTCCCCTTTTCTGTGGTGTGTTGTATAGCTTTTCTGTACATGTTAAAAGTCTCCAAAGGCTAAAATCCCACACACTCCAATAGTGACATCACTATGTAAAACTCGCGCATGTATTGGCTAGCGCTCCAACACATTGTACGTGATGCTGAGGGGCGGGACAGAGCCGGCCAGCTAACCAATCAGAGCAGACTGGGCTCTGGTTTCAGGCAGTATGAGGAAAATAAAGAGCTTTTTGAACATTAAAGCATGGAGACATGTCTCAGTAGAGACACTACATACAAATATGAACCTGGAAATGAGCAGAATAGGTCCCCTTTAATGCCTCTTGTCTCCTACTCATCATGTATGTTTGTGTGATTGCAGGTGCGTCTTGTGATCAATGAGAAGGGTCTGGTCTGCGAGGAGAGGGATGTGAGTTTGCCGCTGCAGGAGCACAAGGAGCCGTGGTTCATGAGGCTGAACCTCGGGGAGGAGGTGCCCGTCTTCCTCCACGGCGAAACCATCATCAGTGACTACAACCAGATTATAGACTATCTGGAGAAGAACTTTGTGGGAGGTATGGTGCAGTCACACTGTGGTTAATCCATCTAGTGATGCTTTTGCTCTTTCTTGTGTTAACTTCAAGCTTTGATTTTAAATGAATGACTAGACGGATGAACTTACTGTGGGGCAACAAGTAATGGCAGGTCTGACAAACTTTCGATTTCTATACTTGCTGAAGTTGTGTACCTTGGGCTTTAGTAAAAGCAATACTCTGCACGGAAAGAGTAAGAAGGCTAATGTCTTTATTTTTCTTTCCTAAGCATAACAAGAACACAGTGTAAGGAATGGATCAAAGTGTGTGTTTATCTGCTCTAACATGAGCTGTTATCATTATGTCTGAAATACTGTCTTTCTACCTGCAATAGAAACTGAATGTTCTTCCATGGCCAATTAGCATATCATTAGTAGACATTTAAGTCGGCAAAAAAACTAAAATGAACTATTATGAACTGTATAGCTAACAGGGTTATATAAGAATGAAAATGATGACCTTACCTTGTCAAACTTACTGATCCTTTCACTGTACTGTAAAACAAGATATATCTTCTACTGCACATAGATCATAGCTGCAGCTTTAGCTTAACTGTTTTAGCATTGTGTGTGAAGCTATTAAATGCTTTTGTAGGATGTCTTTTACAGAATTCTTCTAGTCAGCTTCAAACATAAAAAGTCAGACGGAGACTGTTTCAGCTAATTATCAGACCGAAAAATAAAAAATCCCTGCTTTATCTGCTTCTGTCTGACATTCAGAACCCACTGTATCAATAACCAAGAACATAGAGGCACCGCGCAGGAAATGGTTCCCTCGTCTCCCTCTAACAAGCCATGGTTTTAGTGGTGCATTTGTCAAATTAACGTACCATGAATTAATTGACCACACACCAATTGACACAAATTTGATCTTGTGTTATCGGGGGCAGTTATCTGGTTAGCCCTGTTGCATACAGAGAAAAATGAGGCAATATTGAGCCAGATTGTGAAGCCTGAGTAACAAAGACAATTGGAGGCCATTAATGCGAGGCCATCTGTCGTCTTTCTGCAGTGTGTGTCAGTGTGTGTAAGTGTGTGTCAGTGTGTGTGTGTCAGTGTGTGTGTCAGTGCGAACTATGCCGTGAGACTCGGTGTGTGGTTGAAACAGTGTCTTTCCAGCAATTTCACCGTGATGAAATCCTCTGAATTGATTAGATGAAATTGTAGAGAAACTGAGAGACGGATAAAAACAGGAGAGACAATTTAATTATCAGCAATTAATAGAAAAACCCTGAATACATGAAATAAATAAAGATGTGTCAGTGTGTGAGTTGTGCATTTTAAGGCGGTGACTAATCAGTTGTAAATGTCATGCATTACCAAGAGAAAGGATGCATACACGGAATCTCTGTGGGTATAGATTCATCAGTGGAGACGTTATGTAACTGTCCTCGAAGCCTCAAACCAGTAACAGCCTGAGGGAAGTCGGATTAGTGGAGGTCTCCTTCTCTTAGTTAGTGGTCACTCGTTCGGAGCAGCGATGCTTGAAGGCTCAGAAGATCTGGTTCACTGATTTGTCTGTAATGAAAGGCTCCGAGGCAGAAACTGACCCCAGTGTTTGATGTCTGGTTTTCATTCAGACTCATTCATTGTAGCTCTTTGATAGTGGGCTGCATGCAGGTAATTGCATTCATTTCTTTTGGAACAAGCTTGATTAAAGTCGTGCTCCAATACAGTGATTTCCTTTTTTTAATCTGTTGAATCCACCAAATGTTTTAAAACCAGACCTCCAGCCAGAACTAGATCTGCTGGATAAGTCGTGTTTTCTCTCTGCGTGTATATCCCTAATGAAAGCTGGCACCATGGCCTGAAGCTGGCCTGGAGAGTGCAGATGTCTCAGAAAACAGACTCTTTTATCGGCACAGAGCAGCTCACTGCCAACTAAAACTACTTCACAGTGCTGTTAAGAAGCCACAGAGGGCTCTCGCTGTGTGAAAGTGTCTCTTACTTTCTGCAATGTGCAGACAGTTTGAACACTGAGTTGCTCTTTACATGGCTCTTAGTTGCTGATGTGATATGTATACCTTCGTGCTGCAGCAGACCCCCCCAGAGGGCGAGGACCTGCATGCTGCCCAGGTCAGCATGCAGGTCCTGGGAATGATTACTCAGCTTCTGGAGCCCCGCCAGGTGCAGCTCCACCCCTCGGAGCTTGTCTATCGACAGGAAAATGCTCAAGCAGCCAGCTGACTATCTGTGGTTTGTCAGTGATGCCGCACCTGAGATACGCTGGCTGTGACCCTGCAGAGATAGAAAGCTCACTCTGCTCTGCTAACCTGATTCATCCTGAAAACTATGTTACAGCGGCAGGTCATTAAGTTGAACAGCAGCGATAACATGAGTGCTAACACAAGAATTAGGACAGTAAAACACAAGGAGTGGTTTTAGCTTTTTTTGCCCTGAGGCATAAAGTCTACGTCTTCTTACCCCGCCTAATTATGGCTTTCTCACTCGAACTTCGCCCATCTTTAAATTGGGCCTTCATTTAGCTCTTTACGACCATGTAAGGTTAAATGACTCCAAATCAGACAAGGGGTAAATGTTGGGGCTACACACTTCTAAAGTTTCTTGATTTAAGTTTGAAAGATTCAAAGGCTTTATTGTTATATGCACAATATCCACAGCCTAGTTGTCGGCAATGAAAATCGAACAATATTTCTAAGAAATACAAAAGAAAAATACTTAAAGTGGACCTATCATGCTATATTTGAATAATATATTGTAGGGCCATACCTATATAAAACATGTCTGTGAAGTTTTTTTTTCAAAATACCAAACAGATCATGCATTTTAGCCATGCCTCATTTCGCTCTATTTGCTCTTTTCCAGCCCTGTTTTTGCAAGGGCTGATTCTGTGAGAAGTCTTCTTCGCTGCTTTTGTGGCAGACTACAGCGCCACTTACAGGCTTGGCATATGTACTACAGCGTCTCCAGCGCTTTCGAGCGGCAGTGGCCGTGGCCCAACCCCCCATTCCCCTGATAGGTGGAGAGTTGCCCATATAGGCGGAGCTCCCCGTTTCTGACGTCAGAACAATTTCAGATCTGTATCAGATCCGTTGCAGCCCCGTTTTTAGAGATTTGGGTATGGAGGAAAAGAGAGAGGGTTGTGTTTTCTGACACTTGGTGAGTTCCCTGACACACCGGGGACACATATTCATGTATAAAAGACGTACACAAGTGCATTTTGCATGATAGGTCCCCTTTAAGATAGTACAAGTGGGTAACATGTAAATGTCAATTGTATCTTGCACAAAAGAGCTTACAATAAGGACAACTCCTGCTGGTTAAAACAATACCAATACAGCAGATACTTAGTCCGAGTGGTAAATAGGCTAAGTGGTTAATTTCAAACTGTTCTTTAACCTGAGCCACAGCATGGATATAGAAAGGACCATGTCAATAGTTTAGCTTAATTTAATTAACCTGCTGCCTCATGTTATTGAACATAAGGTGTTTTTCTTCACCTGGATTGTGCTTGAATTTCATCTCATTGGTTTTAGTTTAAATCTGTTTTACTTATCTCTTCTCAGCTTGTTATTCTCCAGGAGAAGTTCCTCCAGACATCTGTAGTTTGTTTAAATGTCAAGCTTTGTGAAAAGGGAAATCTGTTACCAGGTGACCGTGCTGTGATGTTAGAGCAAGCTGAAAACAGTTGCTTAGAAACCTCAGGTGTTCAGAAACTTTTATGAAAATTGTACAGGAAATCTGAAATAAAACATTTTATGGTTTCTCTTTACAACTTAATCATGATTTCCAGTGCTTGTGTTTGTCTTAGAAGAGCCATGATAAGGTTCTGAATATTTCTGTCTGAATGTGTTTTTTTGTCTCGCTGCAGAGACGGTGGCTCAGCTGGTTCCTGATGCAGACTCGCCTCTCCACGAGCGGGTGCAGCACTACCGTCAGCTGCTGGACGAACTGCCCATGGACGCTTACACACACGGCTGCATCCTCCATCCAGAGCTCACCACCGACTCTATGATCCCAAAGTACGCCACCGCAGAAATACGTAGTAAGTGAAGCCAGCTCACTGTATTGTGGAGAAATGATTGTCTACACTTCTGTGTTATTTACAAGAAGAGCATATGTTATGCTTGCTTACATAAAAACGTGGTTCACACAAATAAAAATCAATATAAAAACTGAGAAATAAAGTTTTAAATCCAATGTAATGGAGCAGATTTTGTAATGAGATGGATAAAACCAATTCCAGTGATATACAGTAAGAACAAATTAAATAATGAGACAATTCAAGTAAAACCAGGGTCAGCTTGCCAAGAACAGTATTTATAATACATTACATTTATTTCAGCCGACACTTCATCCAAAAGTAACTGAACATAAGTGCAATCAACCAGAATAAAACAAATTCAGAACAGTAAGTATCCTGCGAGTATGTTAGCTTAAAAGTGCTAATGCATTTGCTTTTATTAAAGGAGAGGTGTCATGCTTTTCCGGTTATTACCCGTCCCCTTGTGTGTTATGAAGGTTTTTATGCATGTAAACGGTGTGCAGAGTCAAAACCCTCAAAGTACACCCTGTAGCGAGTAAAACTCTAACACAGAAAATACCCCAAAACGCCTCGTTGGAGATACGTCATTGTCCATTTTATTCTTCCGGGACGGCATGATGTCAAGCCGTACCCGGAACGAAATGGACCAATCCGTGGAGCCGTTACGCTACGTCCGCGGAGCCGTTACGTTAAGCCCCCGCTGATTGGTCCAAATTGACCAATCCACGGACTTCCTCACACACACATCTGTGTGCAGGGAGCAGGCAGCTCAGCTGATTTCTCCTCCCTGGCTGCAGGCTGATAACAGACAGTTGGGATCGCGGCGAAATTCTCTCTGCAGACCCATTCTCACAGCGTTTATCAACCTTTTTCTTACTCAATATCAAGCCACACTTATTGTTTTTACTTCGGCTGTGAGTTTGTGTGTGCTCAGGATGAGTTTGGCTGTGTTTCGCTATGTATCCTAAACAAGGAAACAACACCTCCACGGAGCTCAGCGCGATTCACAACGTCCCGACCAATCAGAGCACACTGTGCTCACAGGGAGGGTGGGGGCTGGAGCTATTGGAGCTAACGAGCCGTTAAAGGCAGAGAGTGAAATTCAGTGAATACACGTACTTTACAGAGATGTTGTATGAGAAAACAATGTGAGTTTGGAAAAATGCACAATATAAATCTATTTTAGTATACCTCAACAATAGAATTATGATCAGTGGAAATGGCCATGACAGCTCTCCTTTAAGTCAAACTTTGCTACCTAAATTATTTATTTATTCAGTTTTCACTTCCTTGGACTTCCGGACAAACTCGGATTTTCTCTCTTGTAGTCTCAAACACTTTCGTTTTTAAAAGATTAGACAAGTTTAATAATTAATTTATGAGCTACAAAGATGCAAGATGATGGTTCAATGGCCTTTGGACGGAGTCATGCCTTCTGGTTTCCCCTGTGTTCAGCCTTTGAGCTAGGCTAACCAACTGCTGGCTGTAGCTTCATCTTATCAGAATAAATGCTTAAATCTATAAGTACTAGATAACTCAGAAACCTTATCTGTATTGTGGATGAGGTCCTTGCCCTTATTTATTTCCCTGTATTCATTGTAATTTGTATCTGTGTCATCTTCTGAAGATGGCTTGAAAATGAAGAGCCTTGAGGCACTGACTGCTTAAACTATACCTGATTCTTTAAGTTGGGAATACAACAGTTAAAAGACCTTTTCTCGATCACCAAAGCTTCTAAATCTCAAAGCTTCGTCAGCTTTTAATAAAAAACAAACCCAAAGCTAACAGCCTAACAGGGGCTGGACTCTCATCAGTCAGGAACTCTTTGACTTCTTTACTTTACTCGTGAGGGTTACTCCATCCAAAAAACATTATTCTTAAAAAGATCCACTATATAAAACTAGTGATTGTCTGACCTCTCAGTGGAAAACAGACAGAACAACGATAGAAACTGAATCCCTTCAGGTGTATCGGCCTGTAACGGCTCACAGTGTTCACAGACTCACATCGTGCTGTGCAGCGATGCAGAGGGACGGGTTGTGACAGTGTGTTCTTCTGCATGTTCACACATATATAACATAATATTCGGAGCACATGCATGTGTTTCTACAGGAGTGTTTTGTGTCTTAGTATGTTTGTCTTCCTGTACATAGATTACACATTTCCACCATAGATTGCTGCATAACAATTCCATAGAAAGCAGGAAATGCCAGAAAACACTGTTATCTGTGCTTAGAAAATATCCCATCATATACATAATATCTAAAATATAAGAGAACCCTTCCTGATGACTGCATGTACAAATAGTGAGGATGACCTCTAAATGTTCTGTTATGTAGATTTTACAAAAACTTTAAGTATCATTGTTGTCAAAATCATGTATCAAGAGACTCTGTGGTGTGTGTGTGTGTGTGTGTGTGTGTGTGTGTGTGTGTGTGTGTGTGTGTGTGTGTGTGTGTGTGTGCGTGTGTGTGTGTGTGTGTGTGTGTGTGTGTGTGTGTGTGTGTGTGTGTGTGTGTGTGTGTGTGTGTGTGTGTGTGTGTTCAGGACACTTGGCTAACGCTGCGACGGAGTTAATGAAGTTGGACTACGAGGAGCCACAGCTGACAGAACCGTACCTCTCCAAGCAGAAGAAGCTCATGGTGAGTTTCATGTGTTCAGCGATGCCATTTACCAAACTTTAATTTGATGCTTTTCCTCTTTATTGATGCAACACCCATGAAACTGAATTCCATAATTATGAACTAACCATTTCATAACCTTTTAAAGGTGTCTATACTTCAACTGGGAAATAGAATTGCCACAATTTTAGGGAAGTTAGTTCTTAATCTACACAAAAAAATATCCTTTTAAAACCCCCTAACATATTGTAGTCCATTCATTAACTGAAAAACATCTTAATTGAAAAATATATTTCTTCTTAGGTTAATAAAATAAATACTACCTGTATTGTTATTAAACTAAATAAAAAAACGTAATATTTATTTACTTATTTACCCCATACCAAGACTTGAACAATATAGTAAAACAGAAATCTAATGAAGGAGGTATTACCTTTGGCTTATTTCCCAACTTTAATGCTTTTTGATTAACAAACTCAACACATGTGGCACTTAAGTTTATTAGGATGTTTAACAGATAATCACATTTCAAAATCTGTAGCTGAAGGACATTTTATCATAAACAGCCATCAGTCTTTTCCTTTCATTACGCAACGGAAGAGCTGAAAATGGAAATGTCTGTAACGCTGCACCTTTGACCTAAATACAGCTCATATTCCCTGGAGAAAATAATGCAGGCGAGCTGAAGTTGTTTGCGTCTAGAACAGCTGTTTCCCCCGTGTTACATAAATGTGAGGGTTTGAATCGATGCAGCAGAGATCAGTGTTTCATAACAAATGTTTTTTTTAGCCACACAAGAGATGCAGCTACAGGAATAGCAGTATGTTGATTTGATAGTGATATATCTTAAAGAGGCCCTATTATGCTCATTTTCAGGTTCATATTTGTATGTCCTGCCTCTACTGTGACGTGTCTCTATGCTTTAAAGGTGGGGTAGGTAATTTTGGAGAAACCAGCTCGAGTGCGCTAGAATTTGAAAATACACAGCCGGAAAAAATCTGCCACTTCCTTACAGAGCCCCTCCTCCAACACACACGAACGCGCACATGACCAATGAGGGCACGAGATAAGTTTGTGCACAGATGGAAGGCTGACAGGCAGGTAGGCCATCCAGTTATTTTAGCCGGGCCGGCTCAGATGATTGGTCGTGCTTTTTACAGTACTACGGCTTCCACAGATGACATTTTTTTATGGATTTTTTGTCAAAGCACTTAAGATATTCATTGCTATCGGGATGTTAAGAGCATTCCATGGAATATAACAAAAAGTGTATCTCGAGCCGGTTTCTCAAACTTACCTACCTTTTTCTCATACTGCCTGTGCTGCAGTACCTCTTTTCACCCTCTGTCTGAAACCAGAGCTCTGATTGGTTAGTTGGGAGGCTCTGTTGCGATTGGTCAAATGCTTAGAGATGTCCCGCCCCTTAGCCTATCACGTACAATGTGTTGGAGCGCTAGCCAATAGAAGTGCAAGTGTAAGACAGTGATGTAAGTAAACAAAGGAGTCCAATCAAGGCGTTTGAGGCAGGGGGGGGGGGGGGGGGGGGGGGGGGGGGGGGCTTTGTGATCTTAGCCTTTGCAGACCATTTACATGCACATAAACCTATATAACACACTACAGGAAAGGAAAAACCCCAAAAGCAGCATAGAGCCACTTAAGAAAATTATTTGATTCAATATTGGCACTCAACCGACTGAAAAGTGTCAAATACAAAGACATGAGAAAATAGTGAGCCCACATTTATCTGTACTGCTAAGCCTTATATTGGCTACTTAGCTTACTTCGTCTTAGTCTTCTTCATCAGCCAGCATCCTTGGTATCTGTTGTTCACTGAGTTGATTCTCGCTAAGTAGCCAATATAAGGCTTAGTCATCTTGCCAAATAGTGAGCCTGTGTTGATGTATGAAAACGGTTAGAGCTGGTTTATAAATGGTTCTTAAGGATTAATAAAGTGTTTACAACCTAATTCATAACCTAATTATAAACCCTTCATGAATCCTTTATAAGGGTAGTCTTATTGTAAAGTGGTACCCAAATCTTCAACAACACCCAACAGTAGAATATAAATTGAATGATAATGCTGAATACAGACTGTTTTTTTCTCTCTAAGTTTTCATTTTGACGAGTTGTTTACTTTTTTCCCACCGTCATTGTTGCTTTACCATCTCAGCGTAATGCAGCTGAAGACATGTGGTAAATGTGCAGAAAGGGCTAGCATGGGAAAACACAGTGGGACTGAAACATGTATAAATAAGGAAAGATATTTGTTCTTTATTTTTTTTTCCTGCTTATTTAATTGTTTTTTAATGATTGTCAGGCAACAATCTTGGACCACGATAATGTGAACTCCCTGAACAAAATTCTGGGGGAGTTAGCCATGGTTCTAGATCAAGTGGAGGCTGAGCTGGAGAAAGGAAAACTAGAGTATCAAGGTATGTCCCATTCATCTTCTCAATGTCACCAAACACTTTCCAGATATTTCAAATATGGTTTCTTTAAAGGTCACCTATTGTGCAAAATCCACTTTTTCATGTCTTGTATACATCAACATGTGTCCCCTCTGTGTAAAGAGATTCTGAAAGTTTCAGGAAAAAAGATTCTCTCACTTTTTGTCCTGATCCATTTATATAAAAACCTGTCTGAAAATGAGCTGATCAGATTTTGGCCACTTTATGATGTCATAACGATTTTTTGGCTTGTGTAACCATTAGCCAATCACCAACCAAGGTAACCCCCCCCCCCCACCTTATCACCTGAATCTCCTCCTAGAGCACCATTGGGTTCTTTTTAACCAAATATCTCTCAGAGGGGCGTGGGGAGGGGCTCCTTATTTTCATCTGAAGTAACAGACAGAGAATCAGCACTTTTGAAACAGGGCTGAAACAGAGGGGTTTATGGGATGCTGCAATGATCTGTTTGGTGTTTGGAGCCAAACACTTCAGAGACATGTTTTGTATATATCTGAGACCTATAATATATTGATGAAAAACAGTATAATAGGGGACCTTTAATGAGTCTCTCATTCTCTTGTAGGTCAAAAGTGTGAGTTGTGGCTATGTGGACCTGACTTTACACTAGCTGACGTCTGGCTCGGAGCCTTGTTGCACAGGCTCAAGTTCTTGGGACTTTCTAAGAAATACTGGGAGGACGGCAGCCGACCCAACCTGCAGTCCTTTTTTGTGCGTGTGCAAAAACGCTACGCTTTTCGCAAGGTCTTGGGCGACATCCACACGACCCTGCTGTCGGCGGTCCTACCCAACGCCTTCCGGATGGTAAAAAAGAAGCCGCCGTCCTTCTTCGGCGCCTCTTTTCTCATGGGCTCGCTGGGAGGCATGGGCTACTTTGCCTACTGGTATTTAAAAAAGAAATACATGTAGTGAATGCCTTCTTGTTGTGTTAAATGTCTGTGTATTTGTGTGATGTTTCAACTTTTCTGTAATGTTTTATGACTGCAGGAAACATATTGAATCTATATAGAGAACACTATTACTTACCTGGGTGAACAAAGAATATTAAAACATTCCATAATGAGAAATTCTTGACAGCACATTTTCTGGTAATCAAGGCCTTCATCAAGTTTGATTTCTGGGCAACTTGCGGCCGGCAAGTCCTTGTTTGACTTTAGTTGGAGGCATGCTTTGGGTCTTCTCATACTTAAAAACGTATAGAAGAAACCCAGACAAAATGTTAAACACAGAAACACCAACGGGGGTAACTGACCTTCGCATGCCACTACTATTATAGTCATTTCTCATACCTGCTCTTCACTTCTCCATCAGCCTGAGGTTTAGCCAGGAAAACCACAGGAAAATGTCACATGACAAACTTTCAGATAAGTGCTTTGCTGCCAGAAACTGCCAGAAGAAGAAAGAAGGAGGCAAACTTTTAGGGAGTAGTTTGACATTTTTGGTATTTACTTTCTTCTCGAGGCTTCGATGTTGAGACTGACAACACACTCATGTCTGTTTGTTGAATATGAAGTAAAAGCCAGTTTAGCTTAGCTTAGTATAAAGACTGGAACGAACAGCCACTACCAGTTTGCCCCAAATATTTAAATGATGCTCAAAGCTAGTTAGCAAAGTCTGGTTAGCTTAGCATAAACACTGGAACAAGAACTAACAGCCACAGTTAGTTTACCCCTAACAGTTCAATGTTGCTAAAAGCTAGTTAGCAAAGCCAGTTTAGCATAAACACTGGAATAAGAGCTTACAGCCAGCCCAGTTTAACATATTTCAATGATGCTCACAGCCCTGTTTTCAGTCTTCAAGCAAAGCTAGCACGCTTCTGCTGCATCATATTTAACACAGACATAAGAATCTTCTCATCTAACTCTTGGCAAGAATGTCATTTAAGTGCATTTCCCTAAAGGTCAAACTATTCCTTTAACTGTAAACACTACACACAATAAAACACAGACACACACTCAGTCAGTTTATTTAGTGCACCACAGATCACACACACACACACACACTGGTTCACTGTCACTCTGTTTGAGCAGGAGTTCAGATGTTAAACAAATGTGTGGGTGTTTGAAAAGTTACACTTTGGCTGAACTGGTAGTAAAATTGTAAATTCTGCGTCTCTGCCACAATGGTGTTGCATTAGGTTTAGGATGTGTATTTAATTGCATGGGTTACTTTCTTGTTGTGTAAGCGTTTCGTGATGGGTGGACACTGCCCTGGAGGCAGAATTTATGATCACTACCGAACATCTAAACCACGGATTATTAAATGTTCTCCTGCTATTTGTAACCTTTGAATCACCTGCACTGTTCGATATGTTGGAGACGGTCCCTCAGCAATACTGAGCAAAGAGAGAAATCACTGGATTGAACTGCTTTGTTGCTGACTCCTCCTGACAGATGCAAGATTGTTTTTACAGATAGATATTTTTAATTATACATTGTCTTGTTTATTTTACCGCACTGAATTTGTAATGAGCTCAAAGGTTAAATAAGGGGAACAGGGGAGGAAAAGCTGACTCATCTGAGTATGACAAGGAAAAAGAAAAAGCCTTGCCAGTTGTCTTGTTGTTGATGCAGTTTTCTAACTCTGTTCACCCTTAATGGGAGCCTCTCTGCTTTCCTCATAGTCAGACCTCCAGGGTTTAACATGTCATAATTCTGCTCCTGAACCCAGCACTCTTTAGGTTTAACTCATGTGAGTTGTAAGCTGCTTTTGGTTTTATGGCTGGTTTATACAGGAATTATTTGCAGTTACGACACACAGTAAAGCGTTTATTTCTGTACATACAAAGCCTTGGATAATGAAGGTCATTTATTTTTCAGTTAGGATGCTCCCTGTTTTCTCCTGCTACAGACACTCGTCTCTGCAAGGGGTGATTAGCAGCAGAAAACAAACCAAAGAAGATCAATGCTCCTTTAATAGCGGCACCTCGTGCTGCGTCACTGCTGATGATAAATCTAATTATAGAGAAGAATTAAGAGGTGGGGAAGCTGTAGTTCATTGTGTTCAGTTTCATGTTTGGAGGGTGCAGTATAGCCATATAGAATAAACTGTCTGGAAAGAAGATGTTTGAGATGTGCATTGAAGGAAACGGGGATGTTATTTGGTTTTTAAACTGTTCTTGCATGAGCAGCAGTGATGTAAATGGAATAAAAGAGGAGATATAGAAATATATATATATCAGACATTGTGAAGTAAGCAAGAGGAAAGTAAAATACCATTTCCTGTTGCGATTCAATCAAAAAGCTTAATTGTTATTTATGTTGATGCTCAAACATTCACTCATTTAGTTAATTAACACGTAGCAGGTGACGTCAAAACCAGCCAATCATTGAGCGCCTTTGAAATCCTGCGAACACCTTTGTTGACTTCACTGCTACCTGAGGGGCGGGATCTTCTTTGAACACACACAAAGAGTTCAAGTCGAGAAATCCTAGTTGTGATTTGTGGCCATTATATTTCACAATAGTATTTTTTTATTTTTTATATTTATATATATGCATTTATTTATGGTGCTTTTTATGATGTCTGTTCATAAGCCTTAATTTATTCAGTTGCCATCAATGACAAATAAATAATGAAAATGGAATACACACAAATCCTGGTTTTTATTTCATCACACACACCGTGCTCCCTGCACTGTAGAGCTCTGTGGGTTCAACACGTTACACATATGCACACATCAATGCAAAAACAGTTATTTGCTTGAGACCGTGGTATTTTACATTCTAAAAAATACTCCTACGATTTACATCTGCCTAAGTTTCCCTAAATCATCCTAACAGGAAAGGGCTGGCGTTATCTTTGATATCCTCCTTATTGTCAACAAATCACATGAAAAGACCAAAACAAGACTCACATCTTATAACACTTTATATTTCCTTAGCACTCAGATTCGGTTTTTGTTATTAGACCATAAATCTTTAAAAAATAAATACAAACCTTCAGTTTTTGAAATAACAGTAATTCCCTGGCAGCGTGATACTGTAGCGAGTTAATAATGCATGTAATGGGTACTATTTTCAGACCTAGTTTAATACAGATTTGGTAATATAGCGAGTATTTATGGCAGCAGGACAATGTATGGTGGCACTAGAACGTTTATTAGCTTTTGGTTTACTTATGGACAACCATGGAGCTCAATGGCACAAAGAAGTAAGATATATAAGCTTTTGGCAATACTTGTTAGTGGGTATTTTGGTCTTTTCATGCTGTTGTTGACAAAAGATATGATGACGACTGCAACACTAGTTCGTCCATCAACAGAAAATGTATCTGCAACCGTTTTGATAATTACTTTTCAAGCTGAAAAGCCAAACTATCTCTGGTTCCAGGTTTAAAACGGTGAGGATTTAATTGTTGTTCTTTGTCCTACTGTATGTGATTTTAAATTGAATAGGTTTTACATTACTTCCTGGACAAAACACAACATTTGAGGATGTGACTTTGGGCATTAGAAAATTGTGAGGGATAACATTTTAAATACTCTTAGATATTTCCAGCCTTAACCTTCAAGTACTAGGTACTAGTACTAGTAATCATTTGCCTACAACTGTAGTCTATGTAAGATGACAAATTAAAAATATTTCTTTATATTCGATTCAAGCTCTACTTTCTCCGAGCAAACTCTACAAATATTGTTGACACATTGATGTTGACTCCAAACAAAACAGTATTTAGCAGCTTGTTTAAGTCGGTAAATAATTTAGGCACACTGCAGTTACAGTTTCTGATCTGAATTTGTTCTGAAGGTAGTTCTAGTAAAAACAATGTATATGTTCTTTACATAAAATACATTTGCTATACAACTGGAGATGTAAACATTGTCAAGTGTTCCCACTCAGACATTGAACTGCAAATACTCATCCACGAGTAAAACATTATAAGGCAACACACTGGGGGACAAGCGCTGGTGAAGCAGCAGAGCAGCGTCTTGCTCTTATCTCAAATTACCACGAGTCATTTTGGGAACAGCAGCTGCCAAACTCCATCCTGTACGAAACGACCTTTCTGTGTGAGGAGGGAATAACTTAAAAATAGCTTTAAATGGAATGGCCGGCTTGGACCTGGAGACAGATAACATCAACTGTAGTGTGTTGTTTGGAGGACGGCTGCAATATTAGATGTTGCACAGGAAAATACGACAGCAGCTTATTAGGCGTGCTGTTTCCGTTCTTTTGGGTGGCGTTGAGGGGGGAGGCCTGGGGAGAAAGGCTTCAGATACCAAACACGATATGTCAGATACCATGCTATCAGGCCACATATGGTGCCTAGCAACTTGTGGGACGGGTCATGGAAGTAAACAGACGTGCAGGCGAACATCCACACCCAGACGATGACGATCAGATTCAAAGCCACGTACAGCAGGTTGAGGACCATCCTGGGGAGAGCGGAGAGCTTGGCGGTCCTCAGGGAGGCCATGGGCGCCGTTTCCTCCACGATGAAGAGAGCGGAGTAGGCCAGGATGAAGGAGTGTCCCGATATGTCGTAGCCGTCCCAGAGGAAACCGGCCCGCCTGCAGCTGGCTTTGGACACAAACTCCTTGTTGACGACATCCAAGGCGTCGGTTTCGTAACACGAGCCGGTGGCGTCCTCGATGTAGAAGAAGGTCTCGGTGAAGGCGTACCACACGGCTGTTGCCACGGCGAGAGACAGCAGCCGGCGGCAGAGGAAGGAGACGCTCCGGCTGAAGGAGGAGTTGGAGAGGAGGAGGAAGGGAGTCAGCAGCAGCAGCGTCCATCCCCACGACACTTTGACAAAATACCTGCAAGAGGAACAGGGCACATCAGTTCAATTGCAGTAATAGAAGCTAACAGCTATTAGCATTTAATATGAGTATCGTAGGGGTTTTGTGTTATTCATACTGTACTGTTAAATGATCTCACTCTTAAACCCCCAAATGTATATACTGTACATATTTATAATTTGTCCTTCTACATTTAGTTTTTGCTATTTTCTCCCACAAATACATATTATAGAAATATGATATATTTGAACTTTTTTTTACTATTGTATGTCTTAGTTTCTCATTATTTTACTGTGCATATGAATTTTAAACATATTTAAAAAAGCTCTTTTTGAGATAGACATAGATCTAAGACTTAACATACATAATACTCGTATTACCTTACAACACTCTTTGTGCCTTGAGGGACAAATTAAGTATTTTAACACAATGTTTTATTCATCTCTCCATTTGAACCCCAAAAGTATTAAAGGAAATAATTAACTAATGTTTATTTCACAATCTCCACAGTGTAGAGCAGGGGTCGGCAACCTTTTTTAGGATGAGATGAGGATTTGGAAAAGTGGGCATGTCCCCCCTGTCCCCAGTGGAAATTACGCCATGCGTATGTGTGCGTCAAGTGCAAGATGCAAGTTGCAACACACACACACACACACACACACACACACACACACACACACACACACACACACACACACACACACACACACACACACACACACACACACACACACACACACACACACACACACACACACACACACACACACACACACACACACACACACACACACACACACACACACACACACACACACACACACACACACACACACACACACACACACACACACACACACACACACACACACACACACACACACACACACACACACACCACACACACACACACACACACACACACACACACACACACACACACACACACACACACACAATAGGCTGTCATTTACATTTTGGATTTGCTTGGCGAGCTACTTATTGAGGGCTCACGATCGACGTGTTGGAGACCCCTGAGAGGAACAACAATGCCCTGATATTTCTTGCCTTGGCTTTACTGAAGAATTTGCCTTCTTTATATTAATCTCTGGAACTGTTCAACTTGAACTTTGCACAATAAAAGGGAGCCATTCATCAGCACAGTATTAGTCACTAATCCACAGTTTACCCTTTGACTCACATCACTGCAGCGTTGCTTAATTTGTAACAGCACAGTCCGGAA